AAAAGAATTATTTCTTAATGTATCCAGCATATATTTCTTGAGTAACACAATATTAGTATATGAGATGCTTACAGTAAAACCTCTCCACTAGTCTACATACAGCCCATAGTGAACATCACAAGTCCCACTCTACTTGGTGGAACATAAAAAGCAGAAATCAGAGGTTGCAATTTTGCTGATTGGGAAATAATGCCATATAGAAACAAGTACAATCACTTATTAACAATATTCTAGAATCGAGGTTCAGAAGCCATTTGATTCAGGAAATAATTTTATGAAGAACTCCTTGCTACTTCAGGGTTAGTCCTGCCGTGTTTTTCCCTTCATGGTGAGGAATGATCGAGGAAATGACAACCGCTGACGTTTCCTCATCTCTTGCTCTTTGAGCGCTTTATGTCCGTCAGTCCCTGCAACAACCCAATGAGGTGGTAAAGGATCACTAGCCCCATTTAGAGACGAGGCAACTGGGAGGTTAATAACTAGCTAAGTGTTGCACAGCCAGTAGGTAAAAGTCAGGAAAGTCCATTGTCTCTGACATTCCTCCTCGTTCTCTCTGCCATTTTTCCTCTCCCTGTCTCTCTGTCTCCCTTTGCTATTAAGGATTAAAGATGCATATATCTTAGAAACTTGTTCTTATTACAAAATACAGGAGTTGCAGAAAGTTGAAAGACACTGTACAAGCAAAGGAGAAATTGAAAACCATACCATTTGTTACTTTTGACCTTTGTATTTAGTTCATACACAGTGTGCATGAGAGAGAGAGAGAGAGAGAGAGAGAGACAGAGAGACAGAGAGGTTAGCTAATGCACATGTCTTTGTCTTGATGGTGATGCTCTCCCACAATAAATCTCTTGGGGTTTCTAACCCTCACTCTTTTACATTGTTTTCCCTCCTGCTTTATTGAGTGTGCTGTTCAAAGTCTCTATTGATTTCTTCAGCTCTAGGATTTCTGTTTTTTCTTTTTTTACTGCATTCTCTTTCTTTGTTTAACACATTTTGTTCATTTTGGTAATGTATTGTTTTCTTAATTTCATCCGGTTGTCTGTTTATGAGTTTTATATTTCACCAAACGTTTTAAAGAGAATTATGCTGAGTTCTTTGTCAGACCATTTATAGATCTTTATTCGTTTAATGAAAGTCACTCAGTCATGTCTGACTCTTTGCAGCACCATGGACTTTACAGTCCATGAATTCTCCAGGCCAGAATACTGGAATGGGTAGCTATTCCCTTCTCGAGGGGATCTTCTCAAACCAGGGATCGAACTCAGGTCTCCCTCATTGCAGGTGGATTCTTTACCAGCAGATTCTTATAAAGCTATTAAAGCTTTATAAGTTTCCTTTAGTGGTGTCATATTTACCTAATTTTTCATGATCCTGGACTCCTTTGTTAGTGTCTGCACTTTTGATCTCTACTTTCAGATTTTCTAGACTTGCTTTAGTAGAGACAGCCCTTATCCAGTCAGCTCAGCTTGGAGTGCTAGATAGATCATCTGGCAGTGACCTTGATCAGTTGGGCTAGCTGTCAAAGAATGGGTTGGAGGAAGCACAAGCTGGAATCAAGATTTCCAGGAGAAATATCAATAACATCAGATATGCACATGACACCAACCTTATGGCAGAAAGTGAAGAACTAAAGAGCCTCTTGATGAAAGTGAAAGAGGAGTGTGAAAAAGCTGGATTAAAACTCAACATTCAGAAAACTTAGATCATGGCATCTGATCCCATGACTTCATGGCAAATAGATGGGGAAACAATGGAAAGAGTGACAGACTTTATTTCTGGGGACTCCAAAATCACTGCAGATGGTGACTGCAGCCATGAAATTAAAAGGTACTTGCTCCTTGGAAGAAAAGTGATGATCAACCTAGACAACATATTAAAAAGCAGAGACATTACTTTGCCAACAAAGGTTCGCCTAGTCAAAGCCATGGTTTTTTCCAGTGGTCATGTATGGATGTGAGAGTTGGACTATAGAGAAAGCTGAGTACTGAAGAATTGATGCTTTTGAACTGTGGTGTTGGAGAAGACTCTTGAGAGTCCCTTGGACAGCAAGGAGATCAAACCAATCCATCCTAAAGGAAATCAGTCCTGAATATTCATTGGAAGGACTGATGCTGAAGCTGAAACCCCAATACTTTGCCCCCCTAATGCAAAGAACTGACTCATTTGAAAAGACCCTGATGCTGGGAAAGATTGAGGGCAGGAGGAGAAGGGGATGGCAGAGGATGAAATGGTTGGATGGCATCACTGACTCGATGGACATGAGTTTGGGTGGACTCCAGGAGTTGGTGATGGACAGGGAAGCCTGACGTGCTGCAATTTGTGGGGTCGCAAAGAGTCAGACACGACTGAGCAACTGAACTGATAGTGATGTTGATCAAAGTCTATTTTAGAGTGAGGACATTGCCCAAGCTCTGAGGCTGGGGTGCAGATGCTGCTGGCTGGGAATAGTTGATATGATTGCTGCCTTGGTTTCTTGGCCAAGGGTAGCATTAGGACAGCTTCTCTTCTTACCTGGATTCTCAGGCCAGGCTTCTGAGCTGAGCAGGACTGAGTACTCTGTGCAGCAGGAGGTAGGGCTGGGAATTAACTTCACAACCTGGCCAGGGGTGCAGAATGTGCTCCGAGGCTGTGGTGACCCACTAACTGGGGACCCAAATCAGAAGACCTGCACACCGAGTTCCTTGGCCACATGGGGCCCAGCGCTGCTCTGCAGAGAGGCAGAGAGGTCAGGCTCTCTGCTCACACACTACTGCAAGCAGGGCTGTGGGATGGGCTACGCAGTTTCCCATGAGCTTTGGTTTGTTCTCCTGGACGGTGGGGCTGAAGGTTGTGTTCAGCAGCGGTTACGGCTACACATCATCCTTCTGGCCAGGACACGACCACAGAACAGGCCCACGACTGGCAAGGCTCCTTGTTCGGGAAACAAATGAGGCAGAACTGCACACAAAGTCCTCTGGCCAGATGGAGCCATGCAAACGGGCAGAGCGCCTGTCTGGACACTCCTCACGAGCTCCTGGGTGATGGAATTTTCTCAGTGCTCTACCATGCTTGAATAACCTCAGTAGTAGATGGGGTTATGAATCGTAGGTGCAGGAGAAGAGGCTCCCAGGATAGCAAGGCTCATTTTTCGGGGTCCCAAATCAGGCAAAACTGCTGAAACTCAGTCTGCCAAGATCCAAGCCCTGACTGTTCCAAGGCCTGTCTCTCTCTGCTGCAGTGGCATTCTCAGTGGTCACACCCCAAAGATTCCCACATGGTTTCTAGGATGTGAGACCAGAGTGGGTCTTCCTAAGAAGTGACCCGGAATGCCGGGCGAGCTGGAGGTCTACACTGAGCTCTCTCTGTTTTCCATAAAGAAACTGTAGCCCGAGAAGGGTCCTCTTGGTGTAGCTAGGGGAGGGGCAATGCAGTCAAATGTGTCTGCTCCTCCACCCTCCTAATGTGGTCTTTCTCCATCTCTCTAGTTCACAGGGACGCTTCAGCCTCATCCCTGTGCTTTAGGATTTTTTCATTGGCACCGTGTCTATGGGTAACTGCTAATTACTTTTCTGGTGGGGCTTCCCTGGTCGCTCAGCTGGGAAAGAATCCACCTGCAATGCAGGAGACCCTGGTTCGATTCCTGGGACAGGAAGTTCCTCTGGAGAAGGGATAGGCTCCCCACTCCAGTATTATGGCTTGCAGAATTCCACGGACAGAGGAGCTTGGTAGGCTACAGTCCAGGAGGTCACAGAGAGTCAGACATGACTGAGCAACTTTCACTTTTCTTTTTTCTGGTGAGGGGAACTGAAGTCAGGAGTGACCTATGTTGTCATCTTGATTATGTCACTGAGAACTATATCTCTAAGTTGGAACTTCAACCACAGTACTAGTTGTTTCCTTGTTCAGTTGTGTCGGATTCTTTGTGACCCCATGGACTGCAGCATGCCAGGCTTCCCTGTCCTTCACTATCTCCTGGCATTTGCTCAGACTCATGTCCATGGAACTGATGGTGTCTGCCATGCAGAATATTTGAATATTAGGACAATAATTGGGGCTGGTAGTGAGTTGTACTAGGCTCCCTTTAGAACAGTTTGTACGCGGCTTCCCTAAGACTTATTTCATAACTATTGGGCACACATGCTGAGCTCTGCAAAAGTATATTGGGAATATAAATTAAGGTAAATTTTCAGATTATTTTGGAGATGATGTATTGAATACATATGTAAAAAATTGAGGTGTTATGGTAAACAAGGTAATTTTTTATTAAAGAAGAAATTCTTGAAAACCCATCTGGGTGACCATCATGGGAAGACGGGCTAGTTCAAATTTATCCTGAAATGATGTTGCTTATCCTTTTATTATTATAAAGCAACAGTTATACATATTAAATCATCAGAGGTCTTTAAAATCCTCATTGTTTTAACCAAAAGTCTCTTCGTGTTATACAAGCATAGAATTTCAATTGCTTTGGCAGAGATAGGCTTTGCTTTATTTTAAAGTTTTGAGTCAATTAAAAAAATATGCCTGTGAATTTTTGTGAGACCTCATAAAATAATTGGGCTTCCCTTGTGGCTCAGCTGGTAAAGAATCTGCCTGCAATGCAGAGATACCCATTCGGTTCCTGGATTGGGAAGATCTGCTGGAGAAATGACAGGCTACCCAGTCCAGTCTTGTTGGGCTTTCCTGGTGGCTCAGCTGGTAAAGGATCCACCTGCAATGCAGGAGACCTGGGTTCAATCCCTGGGTTGGGAAGATTGCCTGTAGAGGGGAAGGCTACCCACTCCAGTATTCTGGCCTGGAGCATTCCATGGACTCTATAGTCCATGGAACACTGAGAAGGCTCTTCTTGACAATTCAAGATGAAAAGCTGGGGTCTTTCTCTAGGACCCTGGAGCATTTCCACTTTTTCAGTGCTCAGTGGGGGAAAATATGTTGTATATGAGGCTTGTAATGCTACAATGTCATGAGTAGGCAATGTATCCTCTGGTCACTTTTCTGATTTTAGGGGTGTCAAGCCAATGGTTGGAGGAGGCAATATCACAGAGATCACTTATTTTATCCTCTTGGGATTCTCAGATTTTCCCAGAATCATCGCAGTACTTTTTGCTGTATTCCTGGTGATATACATTTTGACCCTGACGTGGAACCTGTCGCTCATCATCTTAATAGGAATAGACTCCCACCTCCACACCCCCATGTACTTCTTCCTCAGTAACCTGTCCTTCATGGACATCTGCTACGTGACTGCCACAGCCCCCAAGATGCTTTACGACTTCTTCCGGGAGCATAAAATTATCACCTATGTGGGCTGTGTTATTCAGAATTTCATATTCTCAACCATGGGGCTAAGTGAGTCTTGCCTCATGACCGCCATGGCTTATGACCGATATGCTGCCATTTGTAACCCACTCCTCTATTCCTCAATCATGTCGCCCGCTCTCTGCGGTCGGATGGTGCTGGGATCCTACATGGCTGGACTCTCTGCTTCTATATTCTATTTGTGTTTCATGTTGAAGTTCCAGTTCTGTGGGCCTAATGTCATCAACCACTTCTTCTGTGACATGCCCCAGCTGTTAGTTCTGTCCTGCACTGACACGTTCTCTGCTCAACTTTTCACTGCTCTATCGACAATGATCTTTGGGATAATAAATGTTTCCATTATCATGATATCCTATGTCTACATTGGCATCTCCATACTGAAGATCACTTCCGTGAAAGGCAGATCCAAGGCTTTCAACACCTGCGCTTCCCACTTGACAGCAGTGAGCCTCTTCTATGCCTCAGGCATGTTTGTCTACTTGAGTTCCAGTTCTGGAGGCTCCTCCAGCTTCGACAGATTCGCATCGGTCTTCTACACGGTGATGATTCCCATGCTGAATCCTTTGATTTACAGTCTGAGAAACAAAGACATCAAAGATGCGTTGAAGAGGTTGCAAAAGAAGAGAGGGTGTTGCTGAGGTCATAGTCTGAGGTTTCTGATGGATTTGTCTTTTTAGAATCATCTTAACCTTCAATAATATTCATACAAATGTACTATAAAATTCCAGGCTCCTTTGACAAAGACAGCTTAATTTGATACGCAGTATGCCAGTATGTACCAACAGCTGACTTGTTGCCACATGAACACGATGTCTTTACATCCTGGAGATTCATAGTTTTCATCCTCCATGAGGAGTGGCCTCAACATTTATTAATATATCTGTAAGTATTTGTGAAACGTTAAGGTTTAGAACCTTGCTATTTCTCTTTACCTTCTGAGAGGGAAGTCGTTCAATCTCGGGCTTCTGACCGGGGAGGAGAGACAGTTGACACAGACTTCAGGAGAGCATAAACCTTGTCTCCCAAATATACTGACACAGCACCATCCAGACGTGGTGGTGCCCAAGGTTTGTTCTGTGTTTCTGATGACAATGTACGCAGAGACAAGGTATACTATTGGCCTGATAGGACTTCCGTGGTGTTCAGCTGGTGAAGAGCCCGCCTGCAATGCAGGAAATCTGGGTTCAGTCCCTGGGTTGGAAAGATCCCCTGGAGAAACGAACAGCTACCCATTCCAGTATTCTAGCCTGGAGAATTCCATGGACTCTACAGTCCATGGGGTCATGAAGAGTTGGACATGATTGAGTGACTTTTACTTTACTTTGCTTCACTTCATCGGCGTGATTGTGCCTCCTGGGAAGACCAGTATGACATAGCTTATGTTTGTGTAAGTTCTTCTCAGGGACAATTACCCAGTAAGCTTGGGATTATATCCTAAACTCCACCACTGTAATCTATTGAAGGCAGAGGTGGCTTGAATGATAAAGAGGAATGGAATGAAGCATGTGTTCCCTTCTGTGCCATTTACTGACAAGTTTCATGATGTAATTTCTTGCCTCTAGTGTACAAAGGGGATTTCTGATGGGGATGATATTAAACATCAATGTCACAATCAATAGAGATTTCTGATATTGTAGGACTCAAATCTCTCTCTCTCCCATTACATTTGGAAAATTCACCCTAAGATGGCAGGCTTCCCAGGTGGTGTTAGTGATAAGGAATCTGCCTGCCAATGCAGTACATGCAGGAAACGCAGGTTTGATCCCTGGGTTGGGAATGAGAGAGTCATTTCTTAGGCAGGTTGATAAGAAGTCTAGGGGTCCCCAAGGAGAGGGAGGTGTGGAATACTCAAGAAGGAAGAAAGGACAAACTTTTTACTTTTTTTCCTCTACATTCCTTAGGATTATAAAACAATAATGTATCCTGCCTGAGCACAGTCTCTGGATTAAACCCTCTGGCTAATTTTGTTATTTTAAAACATAAATTATGGGATTAGATCTGGCATTTACAAGGATGTATCCTGTCTGAGGACAGTCTCTGGATTAAACCTTTTGGCTAATTCTGTTATCTTAAAATATAAATTATGGGAGTAGGTCTGGTGAAGTCTTTACAACCTCCAGACATTCTTTGCATTCACTGAAGAGTATATAACCCCTTTGCTGACACTAGAAGGGGGTACTCTTCCTACCCCCTTCTGATGTCTATGTCAGAAGCTTTATCTCCTTTATACTTTAATACAACTTTATTACACAAAAGCTCTGAGGGTCAAGCCTCATCTCTGTCCCCGGATTGAATTCTTCTGCCCCGGAGGCCAAGGAACCAGGTGTCTTTGCCTGATTCAGCAACAACCTTTCAGGAAGATCCCTTGGAGTAGGAAATGGCAACCCACTCCAGTACACTTGCCTGGAGAAATCACATGAGCAGAGGAGCCTGTAGGCAACAGTGCGTGGGACTGCAGAGTCAGAGGCAACTAAGCACATCCTTGTTGGACATGGACATTGTGATCACGCTACCAAATCATTTCTGCAATTTCAAGCATCTGAACACGTTTGATGTGATGAGAATTGTATGAGAATTCATGGACATAATAAAGTTACTAAATATTTCATACTGTAGACCAAGAACAAATATGAAAAACTGGTATAAAACCTTTTATTTTATCTGTGTTCAACATTTAATGTCCCCAAAACTTGTGATTGTATGATGTGATATAATAGTTGGAGTAGAATGGTTAGAGTTACTTTAATGCTCATATTTGCCAGGAAACCTTAAGGTGCAAAAGAGGAAATAGATTTAAGATAGGCCGGGTTCTTAACTCTGGCCAATTTTCATCTTCAATAGGAGGATGTAAGTTTGTGGTCCTTGTGATCTGTTTAAAAATAAGAACAAGACGGGCACTGACTGTTGACTTGCCAGATTCCCCAGACTTCAACAAACTGATATAAAGTACATATTACTCCCATCAATAAGAAGCTTGTGCTCCACGGTGTGAGAGTAGCCCCCGCTCATGGCAACTAAAAAAGCCCAAGTGCAGCAAGAAAGATCCAGAATAGTCAAATACATAAATTTCTGAAAAATAAATAAAAATTCCAATTCAGTGAGTTTTGACAAATGTATCAGTTCAGTTCAGTTCAGTTGCTCAGTCATGTCCAACTCTTTGTGACCCCATGAACTGCAGCACTCCAGGCCTCCCTGTCCATCACCAATTCCTGGAGTGTACTCAAACTCATGTCCATTGTGTTGGTGATGCCAAACAACCAACTCATCTTCTGCCGTCCTCTTGTCCTCCCACCTTCAATCTTTCCCAGCATCAGGGTCTTTTCAAATGAGTCAGTTTGTCACATCAGGTGGCCAGAGTATTGGAGTTTCAGCTTCAACAATGAATATTCAGGACTGATTTCCTTTAGGTTGGACTGATTGGATCTCCCCACAGTCCAAGGGACTCTGAAGAGTCTGCTCCAATACCACAGCTCAAAAGCATCAATTCTTCATAGTCCAACTCTCACATCCAGACATGCCTACTGGAAAAGCCATAGCTTTGACTAGAGAGATCTTTGTTGGCCAAGTAATGTCTCTGCTTTTTACTACATTGTCCAGGTTCGTCATAACTTTTCTTCTAAGCAGTAAGCATCTTTTAATTCAAGGCTGTAGTCACCATCTGCAGTGATATTGGAGCCCCCAAAAATAAAGTCTGTCACTGTTTCCCCATCTATTTGCCATGAAGTGATGGTACCGGATGTCATGATCCTAGTTTTCTGAATGTTGAGCTTTAAGCCAACTTTTTCAGTCTTCTCTTTCACTTCCATCAAGAGTCTCTCTAGTTCTTCTTCACTTTCTGCCATAAGGGTGGTGTCATCTGCATATTTGAGGTTATTGATATTTCTCCCAGCAATCTTGATTTCAGCTTGTGCTTCTTCCAGCCCAGCATTTCTCATGATGTACTCTGTATATAAGCTAAATAAGCAGGGTGACAATATGCAGACTTGATGTACTCCTTTTCCTATTTGGAACCAGTCTGTTGTTCCTTGTCCAGTTTGAACTGTTGCTTTCTGACCTGCATACAGATTTCTCAAGAGGCAGGTCAGGTGGTCTCATATTCCCATCTCTTTTAGAATTTTCCACAGTTTATTGTGATCCACACAGTCAAAGACTTTGGCATAGTTAATAAAGCAGAAGTAGATGTTTTTCTGGAACTCTCTTGCTTTTTCGATGATCCAGGGTATGTTGGCAATTTGATCTCTGGTTTCTCTGCCTTTTCTAAAACTAGCTTGAACATCTGGTAGTTCACAGTTCATGTACTGTTGAAGCCTGGCTTGGAGAATTTTGAGCATTACTTTGCTAGCATGTGAAATGAGTGCAATTGTGTGGTAGTTTGAGCATTCTTTGTGTTTGTGTTTCTTAGGGATTGGAATGAAAACTGACCTTTTCCAGTCCTGTGGCCACTGCTGAGTTTTCCAAATTTGCTGGCATATTGAGTGCAGCACGTTCACAGCATCATCTTTCAGAATTTGAAAGAACTCAACTGGAATACCATCACCTCCACTAGCTTTGTTTGTAGTGATGCTTCCTAAGGCCCAGTTGGCTTCAGATTCCAGGATGTCAGGCTCTGGGCGAGTGATTATACCATCGTGATTATCTGGGTCATGAAGATCTTTTTTGTATAGTTCTTCTGTGTATTTTTTGCCAGCTCTTCTTAATATCTTCTGTTTCTGCTAGGTCCATACCATTTCTTTCCTTTATCAAGCCCATCGTTGCATGAAATGTTCCCTTGGTATCTCTAATTTTCTTGAAGAGATCTCTAGTCTTTCCCTTCTATTATTTTTCTCTATTTCTTCGCATTGATTGCTGAGGAAGGTTTTCTGATCTTTCCTTGCTATTCTTTGGAACTCTGCATTCAAAAATAAATGAAAAAAAAAAGGAACTCTGCATTCAAATGGATATCTTTCCTTTTCTCCTTTGCTTTTCACTTCTCTTCTTTTCACCG